AGTTATGGGCGCGTTTAGAACGCGATCCAGCCATGCAAACGCTTTATTCAGATTTCCTCAGCGAATATGAATTATTACAACATATGGAAGAGGTGAAGGAAACTTCAGATGTCGAAACCGGATACTATCTACCACATCACGGTGTCTTACGCCCATCAAACAAAACTACTAAACTTCGTGTAGTTTTCAACGCGAGTTCGAAAACTTCCAGTGGACATTCTTTAAACGATTTACTGTGCAAGGGAGGAGTACTTCAAGAAGATCTCTTCTCGATCCTAATTAGATTTAGAAAACACGCTTATGCATTTACAGCAGATGTAAAACAAATGTTCAGGATGATTGAGGTTAATCCTTCGCAAACCAAGCTTCAAAGAATTCTATGGAAGAACTGTAAAAACGCACCTACTAAAGTTTATGAGTTGCGAACTGTAACATACGGAACAGCATCCGCTCCATACTTAGCTATAAGGGTTCTGCAACAACTTGCCCTAGATGAGCAGAATGACTTTCCTATAGCGTCAAAGGCAGTACTTCAAGATTTCTTTATGGACGACTGCCTCTCTGGTGCTCCAGAACTTAGCGAGTTCGAAAAACTCAAATCAGAATTAACACAGCTGCTCCAACGAGGAGGCATGACTTTGCACAAATGGTGCTCCAACAAGGCATCGTCAACTGAACTTAAGGAAATCTCGCTTGACCGAAATTCTGATGAGATAATGGTCAAAACTTTAGGAATGCTTTGGAACAGTTTAACTGATTCATTTACGTATAAGGTTACCACCAGCACAGATTGCAACTACACCAAAAGAGATGTACTTTCACAAATAGCTCGCATTTATGACCCACTAGGACTCCTTGGACCTGTCATTGCCAAAGCTAAAATATTCATGCAGCAATTGTGGTTGCTTCAATTGGACTGGAACGAAGCACTACCTCCAGATGTGTCCAACCAATGGAGAAACATCATCAAAACTCTACCAGATCTCGGATCCATTCATGTTCCTAGATGTTTCTTGGAAGTTAGTGCAAGGTTCGTAGTGTTACACGGATTTGCAGACGCATCTTCAAAGGCTTATGGAGCAGTGATTTACATACAAGGTGTATCTAACTCCAATGAAGTAACTACCCAACTTCTTTGTAGTAAATCGCGGGTTGCACCAACGAAATCCATGACAATCCCTAGACTTGAGCTTTGCTCCTGTCTACTTCTCTCAAAACTTACACAGAAGGTCATAGCTGCAATAAGACTCGAAATACACTCAGTTATATTATATTCAGATTCAACGATAGCCTTAGCATGGATAAACTCTCCTTCTAATTTGCTCAAAACATTTGTAAGCAACCGAGTGTCTCAAATTCAGCAACTATCCAAAGATTTCCAATGGAAACATATTCCATCAGAGCTTAACCCCGCAGACTTGATTTCCCGAGGACTTGATGTTAAGGCCCTTGCAGCCAGTGAACTGTGGTTTAAAGGACCAGACTTTTCGAAATTAAACTTACCTGATCTTCAGAGTGTGCAAATTTCCAGTGGCTCAACCGACAAACTTTATATTGATGAGTTGAAGCCAGTTTCCAAAATAACTTTGACTTTAATTAATGACTCTAAATTTTTAGATGATTTTCTAGTTATCACTAATGATTTTCAAAAATTAATCCGAATTCTAGCATTTATTTTTAGGTTTGTCCATAACTGCAAATTTTCTGAAAAGGTAAAAGGATTCCTCACACAGGAGGAATACAGGAACGCGGAAAATGTGCTCTTAAAAATTGTACAGGTGAAGTATTTTTCTTCTGAGATCTCTGCTTTAGAAAAACGATCGCCAGTTCCATCTACCAGTAAGTTAAAATTTCTTAATCCCTTCATAGATCCATCCGATGGACTAATTAGGGTAGGTGGCAGACTTGCGCATTCTAATTTAAATTTTAATCAGAAACATCCAGTTATTCTTCCGGCAGGAAATAAATTAGTTAAACTCATATTTCAGTACTATCATAAACGAGATTTCCATGTAGGCCCTCAAGCCCTTCTAAATACTGTGCGTTTAAAATATTGGCCCATTGGTGGCAGGAATGCAGCACGCAAAGTCGTTCACGAGTGTGTCGAATGCTTCAGAAACAAGCCAGTTGTCGCAAATCAAATTATGGGGGACCTTCCCGCAGAAAGAGTTACACCTAGCTCAGCATTCTTAAATGCAGGAATTGATTTATGTGGACCGTTCGAAATTAAATACAAGGGACAGAGAAAGGGTACTCTTCAAAAAATATATGTTGCTTTATTTATATGTATGGCGACCAAAGCTGTACACATAGAGTTTGTCTCGGATTTAACATCCGAAGCTCTAATCGCAACCTTAAAAAGATTTTTTGCGCGTCGTGGCAGAAGCTCCATGATTTTTAGCGACAACGCGACTAATTTTACAGGAGCTTCCGCAGAACTTAAACGCTTATACAAATTAATGTATAGTAGCGAAGACGTTTCGAATATGCTTTCCTCCGAAGGCATAAGATGGAAATTTTTGCCTCCTAGGGCTCCCAACTTTGGCGGTCTTTGGGAGGCAGGAGTGAAATCTTTTAAATATCATTTTAAGAGAGTGGTAGGCTCCGCAAGACTAACGCTTGAAGAGTTTTTAACAGTAATCACTCAAATAGAGGGTATCCTCAATTCGCGACCTCTCACTCCTTTACCGTCTGATACTGACGAATTTCAAGTTTTAACACCGGGTCATTTCCTTATAGGAAAACCTATAAATTCGATACCAGAACCTAACTTCATCGACAAAAAAGACAATCTTCTTAATAGATGGCAAAGGGTTCAAAAGTTAGTTCAAACTATTTGGAGACATTGGCAAAACAGTTATTTGAGCCATTTGCAACAACGCTCAAAGTGGCTGCTCAAAAAGCAAAATTTATGTCCTGGCATGCTAGTTCTTGTGAAGGACATTCAACTTCCAACTTATCAGTGGCCTTTAGGTCGAATCATTAGAGTAATTCCAGGTTCAGATGGCAACGTTAGAGTTGCAGATATTCGCACAGCGAAAGGAAATTTTCGAAGGCCAATTTCAAAAATTTGCATTTTGCCTATTGTAGATAATTTTGAGTTAAATTGAAATGTTCATTTGTATCTGCTTAATTATTACACTGATTGTATTCATTTACTAATTGTATGGTTATTTAGTTGTTTTATTTCTTTTACTTTTATTTGTAAGAATAGTGATGTAACTTTATATATATTTTTCCTTATTGAAACATATGCATATTTCAACGCCGGGCGGGATGTTCCGTATTTGTAAGACGCTCTTGGCGTTCGAGCATCTCCCCTTGGCACACTGTAAATACGCCAACTTGGCAAGCTGTCTATGTTTGTACGCCATTACAGTCTACGCTCTACACCCGAAAGGGTAAACGCAAATAAACTCCTATTTTACAAACGCTTTCTCTCATTTTACGCTACCTCCGCACAACGGTTTTCATAAGTTTGAAAAAGTAATTAAATGCTATGTCTATTTTCTTAAATAGCTATGTCCATTTTCTTATATAGCTGTGTCCATATTCTCAAATAGCTATGTCTATTTTCTTATACCCACATTTTGAGCTGTGTCCATTTTCTAAAACACGTATTTAGAGCTGTGTCCATTGCTTAAACACGCTCTTTGAGCTATGTTCATCTTTTTAAACACGCATTTTGAGTTGTGTCCAGAATAAAAAGCTCATGGACAATATATTTTATAACTGTTTCTTACCATTGTGCACATTTTAAAATTTCTTCTTTGCATAAAAATTGCATAATTTTTCAACAAATAAAACCGTAAAGTCGCTTTTGATTACTCTGCTGTCAATTATTGCGGGACAATTGTTGTCTATTATTAAGTGACAGAAGAAAACGAGATATCTAGAACTAACATAATTTTCACACTGGCATTTATAGACGAAAGGCAAGTATACATCGTGCCATTTATGCTTTCATGACAAAATACTACTAGCTGCCTACTCCTTCAATCGTTGATATCGTAAACATGCGCTCTATATTGGTTTTTACATTCCAATAGCTTGGTAGGGAAATAAGAAGTAGACAATTTATGACATTTCGTTAAATTTACTTCCAAGTTCATGGATGTTGACATTTTTTCAATACTATTCTTTGATTTTTAAAGATGATATGAAGAAATGTAATACTACTCAAAAGCGATAGTTTGTGACATTATATTATGTAAATATTAACTACATATTGTAAATAATAATAAATAAATTGTAAATAAATTACATATTGTAAATGTTTTCTTTCATTATCAAAAATGCTTTTCCGGTGTTTATTTATACAAATAACGTTAATTCAGAACTTCCTGTTTTCCTGTATAGCCCTGCAGTTATATGAAATTGTTCTGAAATCTACTATTTATTTTTTGGAGTTTTATCACACGAAAAAAAAAATTCTGATAAAATTACTGTACTTGTAAGGTAATAGCATTTCCGGTTAAAAAAAATTCTGTTAATAAAACTGAAATATACGGTATTTAAGCCATTCATTTTTCCGTTCATATGATAACCGTTTATCGGAAATTCTGGTTTACAAAATTACAGTTCTTACTACCTTACATTTAGTAAAAATAGAAAGGAATTTAATCGAATAAATGGTTCTGATGCGATACTCTAAGGTATCATGATAAAGTTACTGTATTTACTACCAAACAGCATAGTAATAATACCATATTTTATTGTTAATCTTACCAAAAGTCGATACAAAAGTGCTTCTGTAAATATTATCATGCTTTTTGGTGCTTTCATAGAGCCAAAAACTGTAAATTTTACCATATTTTGGTAGTTTTCACCATATTTTTTTCTCCGGGCAGTTTTTCTTGTAGTTACCTTAAAATTGTATTAATTATAATAGTGCAACTTCTTCATATTCACATTTACAACTATGTAATATAATTGTTTTAAAATTGGTATAATATTTATTTGAAATGGGCTAAGTAAACAACACATAAAATACTTCATACCTGTTGTAACTCCGGTTGACCTTGATTGAAGTTTCCTGAATAATTAAAAAGGAGAATATCAGTAATTCATAAAAACATATTTTTTGAAATTTATAACATTTTTTTAAGTTATTAGAAAATTAGGCAGCATCAGAAACTGTTTATGGAAATATAGTTTTCTTAATTTTTGAAGCTGTTAATTTTTATTGGTAATAAATATTCTCAAGCATATACCTTTAAATGTTAATACTTACATTCCAACTTGAATATTTTAGTGTTATCTTTTAATTCTAAATTGAGTCAAGTTTTTTCCCCAGCGGTTTCTGCTCTTGGAGATTTGTTTTCTTCTTAAAACAATATACACTATTTGGAAGAAAGTGACGGGACACCGACATAAACCCATATTTATTAAAATTAATAGGAGATAGGGGCACCTTTGGCTGCGATCACAGCTGCAATCCTTCTGGGCATGCTTTCCACTAAATTAGCCATAGTGGCAAGAGGAATTTCCTTCCAAATGTTTAACAGGAAGTTCCATAGTTCATGCTTGCTTTTGGGGAGTGGGGTGCAGGCCCTCAACCGACGGTCCAATTCGTCCCAGAGATGTTTAATTGGGTTAAGATCAGGGCTCTGCGCCGGCCACTCCATGCGTTTAACGTTGTTGTGCACCTACCAATCAAGAGTCCTTGCATGGAGCAACATGGGATCTTGCGTTGTCATCTTGATACAAGCAATCATCTATACCGAACGTTGCCCACAAGGTAGGAAGGACATGATTGTCGAGAATATCACAGAATCCATTGGCATTCATCATACCATCAACCTTCACCAGTGGGCCAGCCCCATACCAGGAGAAACAGGCCCATACCATCAATCCTCCTCCACCAAACTTTACAGTTGTCCCGTCATTTCCTTCCAGATAGTGTATAAAAATCTTATTTTATCATTTAAAACTCGATTTTGTTTGTTACTAATTTAGATTTCAGTATGCATTGTACATCTTACGGTGCTTTGTAAACTAATATAGTAATAGTGTGTATTCTCACATTGAATTTTATTTAAAGTAAGCTCCTCTAAGATTTTTAAATTTAAGTATACATAGCACATTTTACGGGACGGTTTAAACTAATAAAAACAGTAATAGTGCGCATTCACACTTTGAATTTTTCTTAAAGAAGGATCAGTTGAGATTTTTCTTTTCTAATAAGCAGATATTTTTTCTAACGAGCCAGACTTGCTCTCTGTAATACCTATTGATATTTTTGTCATGTTTTTGAACGAATGTTTTTCCAAAATATAAAATTGAGCCCAGAAAGCTTAAGTCTATACGTAATTCCATACCAATCTCCAGCTCCCGAGTCTTAGCTTTAATAACAGAAGGTTCTGAAGAAGTAGATTAATGAATCTGGGAAAGATTAATGTCCAATGGAACTATCCTTGCATCAGAAAGACCCTTCAACAGGATCAGTTCTGTTGGTGACAGAATGATATGAAATCCTCTTACAAGCACAGAGTTTTAACCCCAGCTTTTTCTTTTTCGTTATTTAAATGCGCTTAAGTGAGCAAACTTGAATAGAGAACTGAGGTCATATTTTTAAATTCGAGATTTAAATGTCTGCCGAAAGTTGAAGAGGTTGATTGTATTAGTTGACTATGGGCTATAATAAGAAAAGAATTAAAAAAATGAATCGAAATTAGAATATATGGAATATGTCTGGAATATTATTGTAACATATTTTTTGTGTTATATTGTCGTACAGAACTGCATATGAAACAAATTACAATATTGTTTAAAAAAAGTTTTATGGAAGTTACTTCTTAATCTCATTTTATAACAGTCGTTGAACAGCAGACACAACTTTTAGTTTACGACTACCAATGCTTATCTCCGCAGCCTTGTGATTTTGAGCCCAATCCAGAAGACAAGGGACCTCCTGGATCAAGTATTAGGGGAAATTTGCCTTCCTGGAGGATGTTTTGATGGAATTGACCCGCATTTGCGCTACATGGAGAGGAAAAATCACGAAAACCACCCACGGTTCGCCTGATGACAAAGGGACTCTAACCCCTGATCCGTCTGCCACTAAGGATATTTTACGTCAGCACTGTGGCTAGTGTGAGCCGAGTGCGGAATTCGTATCGATCAGTCATCCGGGTCACCTCATTGGGAGGCAAGCGCTGTATCCCCTGAGCCACCACGGTCCTCCTTAATCTCATGGTCATAAATATACAGGGTTATTCCTAATTCCTTCCTCCTGTAAACGCCATTTTTCTTTACTGCAACTGGCTTCAGTGGTACATGTTACTGCCATCTACCGGCAACTGCTGAAATTAAAACTTGAGTACTTTCGGAATAATTTCATATGTTCTTTTTTGCCATATTCGTCTTCATTTTTTTACTATAACGCTTCGAAACCCCGGAGGGAATTATGAATAACCCTGCATAGAATGCCTGAAACCCTTTTAGTCGAAATTTGGTAATAAATGAATGAGAATTTCATGTTGCCAATTAATTGTGCATTTAACGCAACCTACTTTTATTTTAAATAAAACTAATTTGGGGGTACTATGACTTTGTAAAAAAATCTTAAACTTAAAAATTATAAATAAATTTAATTCAAAAATGGAATTGACTTAAAGCAACGTTTAAAAATCACAAATAGTAAAATTTTATGAAAAATCGAAATGTGTTTCTATGTCGCATAGGTTCAACATCATTAGTAGGACAAATGGCAAGAAGCGCAAAACAAAGATTATATAATTTGACAAAGGTTATGTCACACTAATTGAGATAAATATACAGTTATAGATTTACAAGTGTTTAAATTGACAGGAAAAGTTAATTAATTAATGAAGTCCAAATATTTGAAAAATATAGTGCAACAGCAAGATCATTAAAAATATAATTTTTTATTTTTAATGATAGTGAAACTCTTTCAGCAATCTAGCTCAATGTATGAAATACATTTCTGAATGTATTGGCCAAGATTTTTCCCACATTATTAAAAACCGAAAATCTATTGTTAATAATTTTACGGCTGCACTATATTTTTCAAATGTTTTGAAACCAATAATTTTTCAACTTTTACTGTTAATTTAATGTTGTCGCTTTTTAACTCAACATTTATCTCAATTAGTATAACGTAATCCCTGTCAAATTATATCACCTCTGTTTCGCCACGCCTGCCATTTGTCTTACTGCTGTACCTATGTCAAATCGAAATGCGTTTAGATGTTTAATTAAATTTTTCTATTTGTGGATTTTAAGCTTTATTTTTTGTCAATTTCATCACAAAGGATTACTCATTGTTTTATCTCATTATTTTATCTCATTATTTTAATTTTAAAGTTTTGACCTTGGTAAATAATGGGTAGAATAAATATTAGGATTGATATGACAAAACCTACGCGTTAAATTGACGTAGAAAAAACTCTTGTTTTTAACAATTCAGCAATATCCTTAAGTTGTATTTCGTTCTTTTTAGCAATTACTTTTGATGAAATCATATGAATTCTGAATCATATGGAAATGTGAACGGTAATAAAACTGCTTCGTTTCTCGAATGCCTTTTCATTGAAGTCGAATTTTCAATTTTTTTTAAAATCTTGTTTTGTAAACAGCTTGCGATGGATTGTACAGGAGTATGTGCACTTGCTTATCAAGCTGGTTTTTCGGGTTTAATTTCTGGTAATTACAGGGTTGTCATACTCCGTTTTTTATTTTATTTAGTAAATCCTAAGCAATTGTGTAAATCAATACATTGCATTAACTTAATGCTTTTGACAAAGTTCAATCCTTAAATAAGTATAGATAGTAATTTCTTAAATTTGGTGGAATTTTTACTCTGGAAAAAATATTTTGTTCTTAACAAGTATCCTTTTTTTTCGAACATTGTCTCCTTCATTCTGTTTTTAGGACCTAAAAATGCATCACATTTGAAAGATAAATTTGACAAAATTATTTTTTTGTAAACAATCTTCCTCTTATACCTATTCAATGAAAATGTGAAATGAGCATGATGCACATTTTGCATGTTATTTTCAAGCTGAAAAGTTTCAAATAATGTTAGGAATTATAAGATTCATTTTCAATTTGTTTCTCATGGGATTACAGTCGAACCCGAGCCATCGTTCCCATATGTTTCGTTTTTGCATATGTATTGTCTTGATTTACCGGTCCAAATGCTTTTCTTATGATATTAGTAATACCTGTTCAGATCGTTTTTGAAATTGAGATATACTCGCGTCTATCGTTTAGCAATATTACCAATATTTGGAGAAAAAAAAGTATATTAAGTTAATTCATTTGGAGAAGAAAAACACTAATTTCTGATGCTAATCATGAAGTTACAATTTGGGGAAAACGACTCAAACATTACGTTTGATGTTTATGCTTCAGTTGATGAAAATATTGAAACTTGTGGTGTCGTGTCGGCTGGAAAAATTGTTACAGAAACTCAAGACGTACAAAAAGTGTACCAATGAAGACGATGAAATGGAACTATAACCAGTGGCAACATTTTCAAAAGACCTCAGCCTTTGAAAAAATGCTAAAATTTCTTTATTTACGCTAATTTACATAATAAAAAAACAGAAATTAGTTAGAGATGAGGCATTTTTTGAGCTTGATGGGGCATTTCATACATATTTTTTATCGACACAACCTCAAAATTCCTGTTTTTTTACTTGTGTCACTTTTCTTGCCGGGTTTGATTTATGTGGACCGAGGTAATGAAGAGGTTGACTCGGAGTGAGTTTCGGACTTAAAGTTAAGGAACTTCTAATTCATATCATCAATGCCATGCAGTGTTTTCATGCGAGAATTTAAGCAGTTAAATAAGCCGTTTTATTCTGAAATAAATTTTAGGTCAAATGTAGGGAATAAGCATTTTTGTTACGAAGTTTGATTTAAAATATTATTTTTTTATGCCTCATTTGAGATTTTCTATGGTACGTTTTATTTTTAAATTAAAGAATAATTTGTAGCATATGCCCTAATTCAACATGTTTTGTAATCAAGTTCGGGAATGTTTTAAACAAAATTTTAAGAATGAGT